ATTCGAGCAAAACCGGTCTTTTGTTTAAAGGAAGAATGGTTAATAGAAATTGGTCCTTTTGAGTGACATAATCGTGTATCGTCATCGATCCGTGTCGTTGAACAATGGAAAAATTTGTTGTGAAATTAGTGAAGATAAAATAGCATTTTGTGAAAAAACTGCGGGTCTACGGAGTGGGAACTTTGCGGATTTGAAATCAGCGTGTTCGAAAGTGTTAGTTCCCGTAAAAGTATTTCAGATCTAAGACATGCTTAATGAAAATCTTTTTCTAGGCACTTTTCGAGGTCACAACATACGGACTAACACCGAAAATCGGACGTATGTCTCTAACTTACACTTCAAAATCAAGTATACAGCGAGAATTATGATATAGTCTGTGTCACAGAGACATGGTTAAACAAAGCAATATTTGATGCATGTGATGTTACTCTGAGTGTATATCCACACCGGGCAAGCTTGAAAAATATGCCTGGCCACGGGGGGGATCGAACCTACGACCTTTGGAATACTAGCCCAATGCTCTGCCAATTGAGCTACGCGGTCAGGTCAGTTCGAGTATGTGATATTTCGGAACTGAGTCTAGTTCCGTCGATATCGATGTATAATCTAGTAATCATGATTTTTTTCTGTGTTGGTGTAATGTACTCACTCAGGTAAATATATGATGCTTGTGATGTTACTCTGAGTGTATATCCACACCAGGCAAGCTTGAAAAATATGCCTGGCCAAGGTCAAAGGTCAAAAGGCAAAAACCAAGGCCAAAAGGCAAAAACCAAGGCCAAAAGGCAAAAACCAAGGCCAAAAGGCAAAAACCAAGGCCAAAACCAAGTTAAAGACGTTCGCAAAGTAAATTTCAGCGAGGTTGACGCACGTGGAGACGTTTTCCCGCGGTGTTGGGGTACTTTGTTTTCTACTCTTCAGGGTGCGATAATTCAATATTTTTAGTCGTACTTGACTGGTACAGTACACCAATGGTTGTTGCCGCGTACTTGAGCAGCTACAAACTCAGTACTCAACGTATATTTAGTTAGTCTTTATAAAGTACAGGTTTTTGAAAAGTATGTTCAGACCAGGAGGTAGAAAAAGAAGCACAATTGCATATACAATCAGTCGACTTATTGAATACATTGGGTTTGGTAAGTACGACGATAGCAAAAAGTAAATACGCAGATAGCAATAGTGTCGCATACCTACAGTATAGATGGAACTTGGCTGAAAACAACGTACGCGAATTATCGCACCCTGACTCTCTAGCCTCCCTCTTGTGGCTCCATGCACAGTACCACCCCTAGAGTGTCGACCTCACTGGGGTTTGGTGACGCTTTGTGTTGCCTCAACTGCTCACCCCACTAACATTTTTGGCATCACCAGTAAAAAATATGAAAATCCGTCATATGGTTTAGTATAGGACTACGAAATTTTGTTATTAGATGTTGCTAACATTTTGTTATTAGATGTTGCATATCTAATTTCTGGTTAATAAATGATAGAAATAAAATGTTGTATACCTGTAGGACGAATATCGCAAGTTTTTCCACCAATCAGGTAAACTGCGGACTGTCCAAAACTTATTGAAACTAACGGTTGCGACAGATCATTTTCATATTTGTCAACATGTCCTCCCATGCTAGATCCGAGTGGATAATAATTAACAACACCAGATTCTGGTCTGTAATCCGGATATCCCAGTGCTGTTGCTATATGGCATGTCAGGCTTCCGAGATCTCTGGGAAATCCATAGTAAATGTCTGGTTTGTATTCCACATTGTTGTAGTCAAACTGATAACCAAGATGGGTCCATCTCAGTTTCTTGATAGTGTCAGGTGAAGCTGACTCGACACTATAATTATTACAGAAAACAAACAGTGTTTTCCAGTACTGTACATATAATATTATATAACAAAATTTCAAATTAACCCATTAAATTGCACTGTGCTTTGATCTTACTCGTCAAGGAGAGAGTGCTGGCGTTCAATGGGTTAATCAGACAATTTGCCCATGTGTCTAGTTAACCCACTAATTTGCATGGCACCCTAATCTGCTAAGCTTCAAGTGGAAAGCGTTGGGTTAATACCAAGGGTATAATTTCAATTGTCTATCTTCAACTTAAATACGGTAGTTTATAAATTTTGTTGTGTTTGGTTTGAAGGTTCGGATCGTCTTATTCAATATAGTCGGTCTAAAACTATTAATTATGTTATTCCTCCAGGTTATTGCATGAGCTATATCAGCATATAACACATTTTATACCATAAAAATAGCAACATTATCAACTCAGTTCCAAGAATATTTACTCAAGGAACTGAGCATACAATATTGCTTCCAATCACTTTAATTGTAAAAAAAATTCTAATATCCTGAGATATATCATGATGCATAGAGGAACAACATAATTTAACGTTACCCGGCCTGGAGGAATAAAAAGTTAAACATAATTTAGTTTTAGACTGAATAAAGTTGCACCTTGTTATTTGTTTTAATCAGTGCAGGTGAGTATACAGGTGTTACTGAAGCGTGCAAAAAAACAATGTCTTTTGAAAACTAATTCAACTGCATGATGTTGTTCTAGGCAAAAAACTCTGAAAAGGCTGTTTGAAACTCAGTATAATATTGAAAATTACAAAAGAGCACCTTGTCAGGATCATGGCACTAATTCTGAAACTTTTTCTGCCAAAAACGTCCAACTTTCAAACATTAACAACATGAAAAAATAGCCAATCTATAAATCGTGGCTTACTGCTTACTGCTTACGTATTAGGGCAGTACTACTGTATACTACCATTAATACAATTGTTTTTAAAACATGTTATAGTTAGTTGTAAAAAATGTTTTTTAATTGCTTTATTCTGACGGTTTTCAGTTTTTACCCTGATCCGCCTCACCCTAGTGTACAGAATCATTAACAAATAACAAGTTACAGTACGGTTTCTCATCCAACCTGGAAAGCATACAGTCATCAGTTTTTCAATTTGCTCTTGTCTTTCAACAGTGGCGTAGCCCCGGTCCCCCCACCCCCAATCACCACAAAAACCATTCCCTTAAAAAAGCGTAAATCCGTAGAGAAACTTGGGGGGGGGGGAGACACAATGATGATTTATTAGAGGAGCTTGATGTGTACACTTAAAGTCTATGTGCTCATGGCAACCAGGTATAATATCAGTCATGTTTTGGCTTGCTGCGTTGGTTTTAATAAATGAACGCAAAGCCCAGTCAACTTGCATGAAGATTCACGACCCAATGTTTTGAGACTCCAGTCCACTGTCTTTGCATGGGTGACCGAAGTCACAATGTAGCTTCATACATTCCCATAGGATGATGTCATCTGCCAACAAGATGGATGTATACTTGTGGCAAATAAGCACTGTCATCCCTTTTCAATGCATGATTACTCAAGATGTTGCCTAGAAGCGTGAAATATAAAGATATGAGTAAGCATGCTTAAATTTGACAGCGCTTATTAGCGCAATAACAGCGCTTATTAGCGCAATGGTGTACATGCGCTGATTATTAGCGCAATGGTTGACATGTTCATCTGGAATGGCTCTGAGTTAAAAAGGAGGACTAAAATTTGGCTGTATATATCTTTTTTTTCCATGAAGCATTTACATTTACTATACTAATTTAAATGCTTCTTCCGTTTTTTTTGTTTTTTTTCTCTTTCTATAATTTAGTTGGAATTATTCATATTTAATTTCTTGTACCGACCACCATGAGCTATACTTTCAAATATTTTTGCCAAATAAGCCTATGGCTTTGGCTTTACCTAAATTATGTAACAATTTGTGTGAAATAAATATATTACTATTATTAAAAAAAATAAATTAAGAATATATCCATCTGGTTGGCAGATGACGTCATCCCATGGTTGTAAGAAAGTTGTATGTTGCAACTTCAGATCACCCATGATGAATACTCTAGAGTGGAGTGCCGAAATGTTGGGTTGTGAATGCAATTTCACTGGGCTTTGCATTCATTTATTAGAACCGGAGTAGCCATAAGCAGCCCAAAAATGTGTGTTGAAATGTGGGCATGCATCGAGTCTACTCAGTTTATTATTATGACAAGGTTGGCAAGAGTTTTAACGGAAATTTATTACAACGTTTACTAGAGTATGAATATTTTGCAAACTACAAGCAAAAACAATATAAAATATACATCATTTCAAACACTGGTAATTTTACTACATTCTCTCAAAGTTTTAACTTCAAAAGTTCACTCTGAGGATGTTAAAAAAGCAAATTATTTTCGTTTTTTTTTTCAAAATTTTGTCAAAACTATGCTGGGGTCACGTACCCTGTGACGTTGTCATATTTTTTAAATCTTGAAGAAGCGCTGATTGGCTGTTGTGCATGATTCCCGTTGGAACCACTTTTTGATTGGGGGGCTGAAAACGAGTCGAACGCTGCAGGTGCAAGACTCTACAGGGAATATTTTAAAATTTAAAGTCTCTGAAATGCCATTTCCTGGACTTTGGGGAAGATATTTGACCGAATTTATAACAATGTCAATTAACAATTTGTTTAAAATGTAGTAGTACTAAATGGGTGAAGGCATATTTAATTAACTATATATTGGATAAGTTGCAGGAAAGTATGGGTAATATCTTCATTCTTTGCAGTTTGTCATGGATAATGTAGCCGCTTAAAATTAATCAATTTGTCAGTATTCTAAAGGTATATTATTTAATTATAGTATATTATTTAATAGTATTCCAAAGGTATATTAATTGCTACGGCCCTGATGTGTAAGATCTCGTTAAAACTTTTGTAGATATATATCCTATGAAAAGTAACCCAATTTTGAGAATGCGGGAAATGGTGTCTCTTAAACATAGAATTTAATTAGATTCTGAAGTACAATGGCGAAGCCAAACGCCAAAGGCGTGACACATGCTAGGTGGGTCTGTGACCCCTGATTTTTCCTGGAGAAAATCCTAATGTAGTCTTGATCATAAATTTTGCATTTAGATAAAAAATTATGATCAAGATCACATTAGGATTTTATGCTCCAGGAAAAATCAGGAGACACAGACTCACCTAGCATGTGCCACCCCTTTGGCGTTTGCCCCTCTAAACATAAGACCCTGGGCCCCTGGCTACGCCATGCACTGTACTTCAGACTCTTGCAATACTGGTATTGATTGTCTTTTGTATCAATTGTAATTGCATAACACCTATACAAGTACTTAAATATTCAGATGGACATTCGTCTTACCAATACTCCCAAAATGATTGGCCCTCCTCTAATATGACGTCATCATGAACGACCAAATTTGTCGCGTTTGGTTTACAAGGGAAGTTCTTCAATGAACGTTGCACGAAATAATGTTGAACTCCTGTTTCGAAAGGATTAACAATAAAAATAAAACCAGGGCAAGAAATAAGCTCAAAAACGTTCCACTTAGAGGCATTGAGCAACCCAGAATTATGACATTCAAATGATTCGTCGAAATTCTTCAAAATATTAATTTCTCGCACTCTTCCTGAAAATGTCGACGGATTTTCGAAGTCAATAACGTCACCGAAATCAGGAGGCGGACTGCGTTTCTTGTATCGTTTATATTCTTCACGTACGGCGTTCAACTTTGTGTTGTTTTCATTCGATTCTTTGTTGTATCGGCAATGTTTGTCAGCCATATTGTTTATTTGGGCTATACTTCATGTAAGGCATGAGTATAAAGTGCGTACTTCATGTAAGTGGCATGCGAAATAGAGTGGAAAATCTTTTAAAATTATGCCTGCCAAACACAAAGTCTAAAGGCTAGTTTCCACTCAGGAAAATTATCCGTGGATTGGAACGGACAAGAAAATTTTTCTTTGAGTTAAAGTCATTAGTTCCAACCAAAGCTCACAAGACAAAGAAAAATTTTCTTGTCCGTTCTAATCCACGGATAATTTTCCTGACTGGGAACTCAGGAAAATGATTTTTTGAAAATGAAAATGATTTTTTGAAATTGATTTTTGAAAACGATTTTTTGAAAATGATTTTTTTTCCTTAATGAAAAGCGGTGAGATCGGTAAAGATAGCGGAACACATGCGATAAAAATAATGAGAAAAAGAATTCTTATTATGACTTAGGAGCGAAAATTAGAAACAAAGCATGTGAGAAAATTGTGAGATTTTATTTTAAATTTTATCAAATTAAAATTGTAAGTTGCAATATATTCCGTGTTCCGTCACTGGTTAGGGGGCAAGGTTTGGAATGGCCCTAAGTATCATATTGTATCAAATCATTTTTATTATATGCAAACCATGGAGAAAACAACTTTTTAAATAACCCATATGTTACGCCATATATACTGTAGACCGTAGTAACAGAATTGTCTATAGAAGCGCACCATCGAATCACCATTGCAATTTTTTAGAGATTAGTCTAACAGGAGAAGGCTTACGGATTTAAATATCTGCTTATTTGCTTTTGCAACTTTGAGATAAAAATGGACCTGCGATGACAGCTCGTTGTTTTTAGACTTATTAGCCACCCTCCCGGAGAAATTACATTCACGAACCAACGTTTCGACATGCAGAAATCTAATTTACTGTTTTGAGTGGTGATCTAAAGTCGCATTAGGGCTGTGCTAGATCCTTTTATGCAAAAAAGTTGCTGACTCAAGTGCCATTCTCAGTGGTCCGAATTCCATTTCCCCAGCGAAAATCTGGGAAGTGCCAGCTTTCATTCTTACACCGTTACAACCCTCTATAAAAGGTCGACTCGAGGGACAACTTTATCGCCCAAAAACTGAGTCGTTCATATTTTATTCATTGTATTTATTTATACATATTTCAGACTTAACCATGCAGGACTAGCTGCGAAAAATGCACGTGCAAGCAAGGGTTACAATTTATCGAGCAAGTAGCAACCCTTTTGGGTCGCTAATACAATATTTGGGAAATACATTGGGAAATTATTTTCGTTGCAAAACAACTGGCGCAAGATAACGAATTATGTATTTATTAAAAATTTACACTCCAAATTTCCATCTATTAAATCCTTCAAAATTCAATCAATCACGTGAGATGCGAAGATGTACCTATAAAGGCGGTTTTCCAGTCCACGCACGAAGCTCGCAGTGCATCTAATTAAAATTAACTATTTAGCATTGTGATTGGATAAAAGTGCTCATGCATGCACTCGCAGCGAGCTGCGAGGAGCTTCGTGCGAGGACTGGAAATCCGCCTTAAGATTTACCTGAAACCTTACAATGGCATCACCACAGTATATATACGCATGAACTCGTGGTTAGAACGTGACAACTGGACCATGTAGGTCTGTTGTTTAAAGCACTGTCTCCGAATTGCTGGGCCGCAAGTTCTAATCCTGCCAGAGAGACAAGGACGCCGGAAAGGGGGGGGGGGGCGCAGGGGGCATCCCTTTAGTAAGGGAGGCAGGGCGGGCGAAAGTGCCTTAAAAGTAAAAATTCTAACTCAAAAATATGAGGTACGACGATTAAAAAGTATGAATTACGCGTGAAATGGACGTAACATTGAAATATACGTGAAATTTTCTGGAATATTAGTCAAAAGTTAGGTTAACTTTCAAATTTTTTAGCCCTTGTATTGGTGAACTAAGGTTCGAGAAAATTTTTTGCCCTTGTTTTGGTGAATTAAGGTTCCGGAAAAATTTTTGGGACACGAAATATTAATTAGTAATTGCCCTTACGTCAACATTGCTGCCCTGTGCCCTACCCTCGCTCCGGCGTCCCTGCAGAGAGACTATATTTTCAGAACTTCTCCTGATTAGATCTAATAAGTGCACATGTACGAACATTTACACTCGAAATTTTTCTCTGACGAAACTCTTCAACAATTCAACAATTAGTTCTATCGAGTGAGATGCCCAGTATGCTGATATTAATTTACTTTGGTAGGAATGGAACCTGCGGTAGGGCCAGAACTACTGGAATTGCGGAACGTGCTGAACATTAAAAGGAATTTTCTGAAAAAGTGAAGTGGAAAAAGGTCTCGAAAAGAATTTTTAAGCCCCCCCTGTGGTACTCCAGATGTTACGACCAGTTACATAGATGTTTACGTCCAGTTACGTCCAGGTACATTACCACACGCTGCTTTCGCTCCTTCAAGTAGTCAGAAACCAGTTCAAGAGGGTACACGAGAACCCAAATTGGTGAAGTTTTAATAAAAGCTTGTCATGGGGAACCGAGTCGAATGCTTTGGAAAAGTCGAGGTAGATCATGTCCGTTTCTTTTCCAGAGTCAAGTGCTTTACCAACATTGTGGATCACACCAAGGAATTGAGTAATGTAGGACCGACCTGTACATGTACATTTTTGGCAGGTCATGTAGTTGTCTTAGCAAGACACTGGGGTCTCTTCTCTTACTTTTCACAAATTTCCTCCTGCAGAGGATGTTTGCTTGTAATAACGGTTTAAACTGATCACAATACCTATACGTATTATAGTAATAAGCGAATATAGTTTACAGTACAATAAGTATGATTACTAACATCAAATGCAATTCGTATATAGGGCCTCCCTTGATAAGCCCGTCAAAAAATGCTTACGCACGAATATAAGCTCAGGGCTTATATTCGGAGGTTTGAGGTATGTCAATGTCGTTAGCTGTACCCGTACACAAATGGAGGCTGCATGGGTAACCGTTTATCAACACGTGCACGAAAACAATTTTTCCGAAAAGAAAGTAATTTTAAGAAAGAATACCTCCATGCGATTGAAAATAGTAAAGACGTCATCGTATTATTAACATACTAGAACATACATGCATGCAGAAACACCTCGCCTTGCTGACAAAACCATTGTATTTTCCGAACATGACGTATTTAAGGTAGTTGTCATTGTAATGCACCTATCAATGGGGGGGGGGGGGGGGGGCATCCCAGGGGACTTTGACTACACTATAAAACCCCAGTGAGGGGAATTTGACCTATGCATCAACTCCCAGAGTCGGGAAATTTTGACATCCGCCATCTTGAAAGTTTGCGTGGTTTTGACATCAAAAGGCCTGGTAACAAGAATGGCGGAGAAGCAAGATCAATTTTCATCGAGAAAGGTATTTTATGCACAGTCAATTTTTGTCAAGTTTAAATCGGTATAGACTGTATATTCGCATTGGAAAACATATGTGTGCCTTGTCATCTTAGGCCTAGAGTGGTGAATTTTGACAGCTGTTCCTTGCCCAACAGTGGGGATTTTGACTACAAAATCTAAAAAATGTCAAAATTCCCCTGATTGCCCGCACACCCCTCTCAGAGGGGAAACATTGATAGGTGCATAACACTATAATTTGTTAAGAATATTTTTACAAATAAAAATCCCCTAAAACTAATATCACTTTTAATTACGAAATTATCAATTCCCCAAACATATATATGTTAGGTATGTTATTATACGTAATATAAGCTTCAATTTAAGGTTAAATTCAACCTCAAATTAAACACTTCGCAAGACGTTTTAAACTGATGCTCTTTGTGAAACTAAACTGCCTTTATCGAAAAACTTTAAGTTTGAAATAAAATTATTTCAAATTCTCGCATTCAAACAACTTTGCTTTCTTTTTTATTTAAAAATTTTAATATAATAAAAAAGGGTAATTAATAAAGAAACACCATAGGTAGCCCAACAATCAGTGTTATTGATTCATTTCTGTTCAATAAAATCATACTATTACTAAGGCCCCGACTGCATTGTTTACGCGCGGTCAGATCATGTACGTATCCCTATAGTAATATATGCTATATTACTATAGGGATACGTACATGATCTGACCGAGCGTAAACAATGCAGTCGGGGACTAAGTAGTAGTATGATTTTATTGAACAGAAATGAATTAATAACACTGATTGTTGGGCTACCTATGGAAACACTAAAATTATATGCTGTCCTTTTCAATTAAAATATACGCAACGATCAGCGTTTGAAGCAATTATAAAGCGAACAATACATCAATATTTAAAACAAATCTACCTTCGTTAACATCGGCGCCTTTACTCCCATTTTTTAGCAATCGTTTCGCCTTTATTTTCTTAAAAAGTTTTTGAAATTCACAAAATCTTGCGAAAATGAAATACATTTGCAAGAAATCATCAAATCAAGAAATGTTTGCTATTTCGCTGTCGTCATGCGGTCGTTATAATGCAAATTTTAAACTTGACCAATCAGTGTTCGCTATTCGTGACAGTGCACCATATTTTTGAGATCAGTGAGGATGACCACCCACTCAACACCGTTGGTCACCCACGCCTGCGATCATTGATGAACTTCAGACTTCGCTAATACTTCCATTTTCCCGGGTGTAAATAGCCGGGCGGAATTAGCTCCCTCGCCCCGGGCTTACGCCCGGAACGACTCGGGGATTAAAGTTAAATTCAAGCACTAAATTGATATAAAAATAATGAAGAAAAGTAAATTGATCATCCGTGTGACTGCGGCCTTGGTTAAAGGCAGCCTATGTCAAGGCAGTAATTCCAGTTGTAGCAAATTTTATTTTAAAACGATAGTAAAACTATTGCAGCATATTAGACGTTTTACATCTTATAAAGACTAAACTATGAGTTGCTGAGAATATGTAATTAGCGTGTCTAGTCTTGATTCCTTTGTCAGTGTTCATTTCATATTCTGCATACCTCATTCACTGCGGTTTTATTAATGGCTTTAAAGCAAATTCAGTTGTTGCAATCCAGTTGTTGATTGAAGTAAGACGCCAGTATTGTGCAGTAATAGGCTTGAGGAGAGAATAACTCATAATTTGTGTTCCCGGCTGCTTTGGTAGCGTACGAACCTATAAATGTGAGAAACGGTTTAAAAAATGGATTAACCTTACAAGTTCGCAGCTATCATGATCAGGTTTGGTAAATAACATTTCTTTAATTAATGAACGAACGACCGAAAGAATGAACGAATGAACGAACGGAATGAATGAATGAACACAAAGCATTTAAAATTTGCTTCTGCATGCATGCATGCATGCATGCATGTACGTATAAATCGGAATATCATAATAAAATCATTACTTTTGCTGGATCTTATTATGGGGAGTGTCTTCATGAGAAAAATAAATGGTTAATTTTTGCTTTCAAATGTGGTTGGGTTATTTCTCTATATATTACTTTAAACATGTCCTAAACTGATACTGCATTGAAACTGTAAATAACAAAAGTTGAACATACTGTCACCCATTTCAGGTTATCGGTGGAATATTGCAAATACAAATCGCCATAGGCGCCACTTTTTGCATGACCCCAAGCGGGGATGTATCCTCCAGCAATTTCTACACTTTGGACATACACTGGACGGATGTATGTTGCCTGAAGCCAATTTCCACCACTAATAGATTTACTTCCGTATCCGCCTGTGTCTGATCTACCATCAGTGAGAACCCTGGATGTGACTTGGTAAAGCTTGTTATAATATCCACTTTCTGATACATAAAAATCTTTAAGCAAATGTATCAGTAAATCGTTGTCAATTCCCTACAAAAATATTGCAATGATCATGATTTTTGAAACCTTGAATCATCAAGGAAGAGAAATATCTGAGTCATTCTATTCTGCTATTGCATTTTATTGGTTATTTCTTTTTGTTTCGTGCACCATTGTGTTAGGGTACGTTGTCGTTGTGGTTGGGCTCGAAATCAAAGAGAAGTTCATTAGTACCAGTGCGAAACACAAGGGAATTATCATGACAATTTCACTTTACAGATATAATTTGAATTATCCCAGACAGTATCTTTTACGAACTTTCATGTTTCAACTAATTATATTCAATCTTATTTTCATCACTCAATAGGCAATTCCAGCTTTTAGTTCATGCGTTCAGGGGATTGGAAGTAAGGTATCATATTGTTGATTATGCTGAAAAAATAAAAATGGCGGCCGTGTAGCTTATACTTGTAAATATTGAAATGTTTCGGTTGTTTCGGCTGATTTTTTGACATTATGGCTGATTTTTCGACATTTGTATCAACCTCGTCCCCAGAGCCTTTTCAGGAAGAAGGCGAAGGGCAGCAAAGGCCCTGGCAAAGGCTGGTGAAATAATCCACAAATTGTGGATTATTTTGTCACGTGATATATCGGAGCAAATACTATACAGGGGGGTGCGATCGCGGATCGCTTTAGCTACAATATATTCGTCAATATTGCATAAACACCGAAATCGACAAATAAAGAACAAAAATCTATTTTAAAATGAAAAAATCTGTTAAAGTTCTTCCAAAAATATTGAATAAATTTGAAATTGTCTTCAAATTAGCTCTGAGAACCTTGGTTGAACTGTAAAGGAGATCTATTAAATATATAAAGCAACAGTGCAAAACGAATGGATCGATAGAAGTATTTATACTATGAATTACTGTCGCAAGGAAATTGCTGCCTCGATTGTGAAACAGATATGTAAAATCACTTTAATTTAATAATATGGACTCTCAATACACCATATCCATGATCATCAAAACATTTAATAGTTATTGTTGCTACGATAGATCTTTCTTGCAAATGTCAATATCATACAGTATATTTAACAGTTAAAGGGAGTACAAGATCCAAAGAATGTCTGAAAAACAAGGAATGTCAACATCGTATGCACTTGGAATTTAAATGCTTATGTTAGCCATAAGCCCTGAGTATAACCTGGTTGACCTCCATGGTTAATTAACATTTCCTGAATTTAATTGAGTTGAAATATTTTATTTGATTTTCATTCTTATAATCTTATCCCAAGAACATTGTGAACACACATACTAGTGCTTTGGGTTTAGATGTCAAAGGCCAAGCTTCAAAACAAATGTTGTGATCTTAATAATCAGGCATTCCCAAACAATTACATGCATGAGGGTCAAATCGGACAAAAAAGCCTCCATATGCTTTATCAAGGCTGAATAATATAATGAGAGGGAATTAATTTCCTCATTATACTGTTAACAAGCCCTTGTTTTTGTTTGTAATCAATTACACAAATTACTTCCCAGAACATTATTTATGGAGATTATTTGACAAGTCAGCAGGTAGGCTACATTTTTTCCTGAGCCACAATTGGGGCAATTCAGTGTCACTCATCACAACAGGCACTCTAAATCACTCACAACATACAACAGGCAGTTCAGCATCACTCACCACAATTGACTGTTCAATACTGTGTGCCTCAGTAGGCAAATCAATAATCAATATTTTGCTCAGATCGACAACAAATATCAAAATTGAATTCATTCTCAAAACATGATACAATAACAAGGGGTCTCTTATGGACAAATACAAGACACCTGGTGTCAAATGTATCAAGTGACAAGATTATTCATTTCTTTTAATTTAAATACATTTTGCCGCCTTGTAATAAAGTACTATTTGTTGTTGGTGACCATCAGTTGAGCAATTTAAAACATTCTGAGAATACAAGTATTAGTATTTAAATGACACAATATTATAAGTTACCTTTCAGGTATATAATTTGTATACAGCATCAGTGGTGTAACTTAACTTTTTTGACCACTTGCCCTCACCTGGCAAGTTGGACATGAAAATTGGTTGCCCTGAATAAAATCCACTTGCCATCAGGCAATGGGGTACCTACGCGGGCCAGTATAAATTAGGGAGACAACATATCCACTCATTGGACTAGTAGCATTGGCTATGTTACTGCCTCAGATCTAGACTACCTCAGATCTAGCTTTGGCTCACATATTAAACAAAATTTGAATCAAGTACACTTATTTAATGTAACACTAATCACCATTATTTTATTTTTTATTTATTTATTTTTTTATTAGTTTTACAATACGAAATTGAAGGCACAGACAACAGGACTAATAAATTCCCAAATTAAGTCCTGCCATAAATTAAGTCCTGCCATATTTCGTTATCATATCATGAATAAACATTTAATAACCAAAAAGAGAATCAATGCATAATATAATCAAACAATTTAGATGAATTTGAGATGCAGATGATTTGCCAGCTTGAACCAATGTCGTCGAACAGCCTTTATTCTATCCGACAATAATAATATAAACTGAAAGCTGGCCAGCTTTTTGTGGCAAAGCAACTTGCCCGTTCGGGCAACCAAGAGGAAACTTTTACTTG